AATGACAACTTATACACTTAGTATAATTGATACATCTGTGTATATAATATGTAATTTTATGTCTCAGTTCAATTGAACTTTTATTTAATGTTGCATATCACTGGCGCAATGTCAATGATTATAAATATATGATTTTCGGAAGAATCAGATTAACTTTTGTGAAAATTAATCAAAGTTTAAATCATACATTGGCGAAGGACAAAAATTTTTAGTATTAGTTTTAATTGACATCTTGAAAGCTTTGGCAGTATTGATGTCTTTCTTGCACCATCCCCACCCTTTTTACATTCTTTATTCTGATTGGTAAGGGTAGAAATATACAAAGTATGAAGAGGACATGTTTTTACAAGGAAAAACATGAATGCACAAACAAAAAATCATATGTAAAGAAAAACAGATGAGATTCTATGTTGAGCTGATTCATTAAATTTGGAGGGAAAAAAACAAAATCAGATTTTTCACACATTGGAATTTCTTTTTATATCTATTTGATTCTACTCAAGACAAAACTATTTTAAGATTGAAAAGGGATTAAAGAAAATAAATAGGAATCTAATTACTAAAAAGCTAAATCTAATAGCAAAGTGTGTTAAAATGATCACAGAAAAAAAAAAAGAGACAAATATATAAAAACAAATTTTTGTTTTGGTTGTTAGTAACTCTGATACGAGAAGATGTCAGACTGTGTGTCATCTTTTAATCAAGGTGGAAGAAAATGTCTTCAAAAGAAATCTTTTACAGAGATGTTTGTAATTATAAAGATGATCATATTTTTTTTTTTTTCAATCTAAAAAATAAATGGACAAAAGTGAAATGGTCAGTGTGTGGTATAAGGGAACATTTCTCTTTTCTTCAGAAATTATCAATTTCTAACTTTTGAATTCTTTATTTAAGAAACCCAGATTTTTTTTTCTTCAGTTCCATCAGTTATAAAAACTGTAGATTCATATATAAATTTTGGACTTCACAACAAATTGTAGTGGCTGTCTATATTTCTGAGATGAGGTATTATGTACACTATTTACATTATTCAAACTATTGTTCTCATCTTTGTTGCTATATTTATTACGTTTCGTTGTATGCTCCAGCCTTCTTCAGGTGGTTCGACATTCCAACCACCTGAAGAAAGCCGGAGCGTACAACGGCCAAAACGCTGTAATAAATATGGTGACAAAGATGAGGACAATAGTCTGAATAATGTAAATAGTGTACATTGTAGTGGAATGTCTTTGATTATGTACAACATACCAAAGAGTACAAAATCAGTTCTTTTTTGTTTTTAGTTTATTTTTACATCATTCCTTTTCAAGTTCCTTATATTTAAAAGTCTAAACAATAAATTCCATTGATATTGCAACTTATAGTCCAGACAGATAATGTTAGCTGTACTTATGATATATCTGTATAGATATGTATAGATATGTATATATCTGCATAGATATGTATAGATATGTATAAAGTCAGCAGATGAAGAACAGTGATCAAAATGATTTAAAGGATTTATCTCAAAACCAATTTTAAGTTTTGCATTACAGCAAAATATTCTTGAAAGTAAACTTATATGTTGATTTATTTTTTTTTGATTAATTTTCAAATGAAATAATTTTTAGAAGAACTTAAATAGAATTTTTTTCTTGTAAAATGTTGAATTTTTATCAACCATTTTTTTTCCTTTGTTGTCTTTTTACTGTTCAGTACAAAATGTCAGATTTTTTAGTTAATATTTTCAGAATGGTAAAATTTTCAGAATATATATTTGCCTGTTAAATATATCAGATGAATTTCAGCTTATAATATTCTGTTTTTATTTGAAATATTTACAACTTATTTGCTGATGTAAGACTTTATCATGTAATTTGAATGTTATTCATCATATTGTAAATAAATATATATAATAGTATATTTATTGATATTTATTTTTAATTTCATATATAATGAAAGTTAACAATACTTATCAGACATTGTTTCATGATTATAGAAAGCTAGATTGGAGGAAACTGGTGGCTGGTCTAGAGGGTGACTCTTTCATAGAAATATTCAACAAATATGACATAAAAGACAAGCATAGTAGCATTCGAATAATGTTTTGGGATAGCATTATTGAGAGTAAAATTATAGTCTCTTTAAAGATGATGATGATGACATCAAAATTAAAGCAGAAAATAAGTTCTTAGATATTTTTGAATGGTACATGTCACAACCAGCATTAAGATATTCATACTAGACAATGCTCTTTGAAATTCTGTGAAGAGGATTATTGCCCATCATCTTCAAACAGCTCCGAAGGCACCAAATTAATGAAATGGTCCCTTTCTTCTTCCAATATCAATCCAAGAGAAAATGCGTGGTCTTTCATGAACCTACCTGTACCTTTAACGGCATTCACCCGGGGTGGGTTGAGCCGGCTCCAATATTGGAGTTTCATGGGAATTTGGAATTCACAAGCGGTCACCAACCTGCATGTACAGCACATGAGATTTGATTATAGCGGTGAAGGTTTCGTGCAGGACAATCCACACTTTTTGAAGGGCCGATTACAGAGATCTGGTGCACTACGTGCCACAAGGTCCCCAAACGGGCCTTCGCAGGTTTTGAATTCAGAGTTTTCCCTTCTCCTAGACCAGTTGCCATCCAAGGCTATAGAACCCAGTCTGTCCTGCTATTTACTGGAGGGAGAAGAAGAGGATTCACACCTTTCCCAAGTGATTTGACTGGAATTCCAACTTGGCTCTCCAATTCCTCAATCCAAGCCGCTATCCATTACTCCACCGTGCCTCCTCTCTTTCATGAAATGCGATTTACATATAGAATAGGAATAATATTAAAGTAAAGATATCTTGAAAGCAATAAAAACTGCTAAATTTTACAATTGAAACAATAAAAAATGAAAACTATGTATGCAAGTCGGATTAAGGTTATAGAATATCAGGGAGTCCATATTAACATGTAAAATAATGACTTAATCATGTGTATGAGTTATTGTGTTAATCAAATATGTGTTTCAATGGCCAATATCTTTTGGATTTATAAGCATGAGAGTCAGTCAAAAAAATATAAGCTGATCACATAAATATATCCTAAAGATCAATAAGATTAGATATTATAAGCTGATCATATAAATATATCCTGAAGATATTACCTACATTGGTTGATTAATACTAATTTTATTATGAAAACACTGATTTATATAACAGAATCTGACATTGTATATTTTATATGAAAGGCGAATGTTGGTAGTAGAAAATGTAGAAAAAGTATTATCAGTAAACTAATCTGAATGGTTGCATATGTAGAAAGACTATAAGATTTACAACTTTTTAATCTATTGAATGCAAAATGTGAGAGATGATGAATCTTATAATAATCATTGCTTTTATTATTTGTCTCTTATCTAAATGCCTAAATAAATATATATATATATATCCTCACACATTTTCATAATTGACTGGTCCTGGTCTGGATTTTTCTCTTCAAAGATAAAAAGAAAAGCAACAAGAAAATAAATAAAAGAAAAATTGCAGTTGCAAGAAAAAGAGTAAAAAAAAAGAGAAAAAGCTGTTGAAAATGAGAAGCAGTTTGAATGCCAAACAGTTCATGATCATAAATAATGGTTGACAAATCGCAATCAAAATAAAGCTTTGTTGATGGAAATGCATTTAGATTTTTAAATGAAAACTCTAATGAAAATGAAAAGTAATATATGTTAGCTTTAATTACTATCGTTAGTTGTTGTGTACAAAAGTATAATATTATTGCATAATATTTATGCAGAAAATCTGGGAATTGAAACAGTAACTGAGATTTGTTTTTTTAATCTTTGATTTTCTACTCAATATGTTATACAAGGAAATCACTTAACAAACGAAGAAAATAAAAAATTAATTTTATTCCTTTAATGATGAAAAAATATATTTTTAAAAGAGAAACTGGATCTTAAGCTAATTATGAATCTGATGAATGCAACGGAATTCAATTGCTTATCGAATACTTTTGGAAACACAATACTTTATATAATTATTCAAATTAAATTCCTCTGAAAAGAGGTTAAATTTAACACGACTTTAATCAACATCATAACAACTGAAGATGATCATCAATGCTATTTGATCTAAACCAGTGATTCCCAACATGGGGCACATGCCTCGCCGGTGGGGCATGGTAATATTTTGTTGGGGCATGCATAGGATGTTTACCCGTTGGCTTACTATACCAGGAGAATAAGGGGCGCAATTCGAGAATGAGTTATTAACAGTGAATTGTTTTCTTGTGAGTCTGAGTGAGAGCATTAATGATAATGCATATTTATATGTACAATGCATATATACAGTATACATATATAAAAATATTTTGTGTGCATTTATATGCATGTGTAATTGGCAAGAATTAAATATTACATGGGTGCACCAGAATTTTAGAAATACAAAAGTGGGGCATGGCCCAAAACCGATTGGGAACCTTTGGTCTAAACTAAATGAATATGAGTTAAATCCTTTTTTTTTTCAGTTTTATGGAAGGGATTTAGTATTGTTTCCAATTCCTTTGATTTCTTCTTTTATTATTCGCATAAAGTTAAAATCGCTTCATACAGATTAGTATTTAGTGTAGTTTTGGCACAAGGCCACGAATATTTGGGAACATAGTGAGAATCAAACTCATTATAAATTGTCTACAGGTCCAGTTTTGTAGCCATTATCGCACGACAAGGTATCCTTTGAGAGATTAACAGTTGTATAAACAGAATATCCTTCAAAAAAGAAAAAGGAAAGAAATTGAAGAAAATAAAACTTATGATCATGAATTGTCGGAAAACCATTTCCTCATATGAAGCTGTTTCTCCCCGCCTCCAAACTACATCATTATGTCATCTACTTAAAAAGGCACATAGACACAATTATTAACGGAAGAGGCGGGGACATCTGCATGCGATCCGGCTGTTGAGGGCGACTTGCAAGAAGTCCTCGACTGGGGCCTAGAAGATATTTTTCAAATTTCAAACAAACCTGCATGGATCATTGCTGTGTCCTCCAGAAATCTTCAGACTGTCCGATCTTAATTTACATAAAAATGGGAAAATGCGAGGAAGAGAAAAAAGACAAGAAAATTTATTCAATATTAGTAAAAATGTTGTCATAAAGATGGTTTAGTTGTAATAAAAACAATGAACGACGTGGAGAAGTCAATGGCAAGAAGAAATATAACACCGTCAATGCAGAAGAAAAAAAAGTATTCAAATTTACCAATAAAAATCATCGTCTTAATTAACAAAAAGGGTTAGTTTTTAAATTAGCCTATTGCTTTTGTAATAAGTAGAATTTCATAAATTTTCGTTACCTATATGAAAAAAAAAACATTACCAAGAAAGAAACATTGCAAAAAAAGAAACATTACAAAGAAAGAAACATTGCAAAGAATCATTGAAAAGAAAGAAACATTTCAAAGAAAGAAACATTTCAAAAAAAGAAACATTACAAAGAAAGAAACATTGCAAAGCATCATTGCAAAGAAAGAAACATTTCAAAGAAAGAAACATTGCAAAAAAAAAGAAACATTACAAAGAAAGAAACATTTCAAAGAAAGAAACATTGCAAAAAAAAACATTGCAAAGCAAGAAACATTACAAAGAAAGAAACCAAAAACAATATCAATGAAAATTTTCTATAAAAAAAGCTTTAACAAAAATGACTGACAATACAAACATATTCTAAATAATTTTTAGTGAAAAATATTTTATAATTTGAAATATCTTTATACAGGGTGACCCCAAAAAACGGGAACTTTTTAACAATCCAATAAAACCAAGAGTGATGGAAGAAAAATATTTTATTCATAGTAATTGAAACCTTAAAACATGCCATTTAAGAAACAATGATGGAATTTTCATTTTTTTAAAATTACGTCCTGTAGATGGCGTCCTCCTGTACGAATGCATTCTTGAAATCTGCTGTTGAGATTCCTCATTGACATCTGCAACATCTCAGCTGGGATACTGTGAATTTCATCTTGAATTCTAAATGACGAAATATTTACTTGCTCAAGGTCACTGTCTCACAGTGTTGCCACTTGCTCATGTCTGGCAATACGCAATTCAAAAATTCCCGTTTTTTGGGGTCACCCTGTATTATCTACATTGGAATTATTCTATAAATAAATTGCACGTAATTTGATATGAAAAATATATCCATTTCAGCTGAGAGGAAGAAATAAATATCTGATGGTTGTATATGTGTGGTTGATGATTATTAGGTTACACTTGTGGGGGGATATATGATATTGGATTTAATGTGGTTTTTGGTGTTTTGTAGATTTACAGGTGGTTATCTTCGGATAACATTCTTATTGCAATATACTCTAATTTTTGGCCTATTAAAAATGAATGATAAGATAATTAGCATAAACAAAGATATATTTGACAAGTAAAGATAAAATTTTATATATCTTAAAACATATACAATTTAAAGAGTTCATAAGTTCATATAAGATGATTCGCGTCTTAGACGTTAAAGTCATTTAGCATATGTATAAGAGAGAAAGTCCTTGTAAAGTTAATGCGTATGTATGCATGTATGGTATAGGTATCAACATGAGATCGTTGTAAAATGAGCATAGCACGATAATAACGGCCTTAAACTTGATGAAAATAATTTTTATCGTCTAAATGTTTATGTTATTATCAAAAGAAAAGATCCAAGTACTTTTGATTATTTTTTTACATTTTTTAATAATTTCTAGCCCGTCCAAAATTTTCGTTAAAAATCTTGTATTTTTTGATGAGCAAAATTGACAGGACATCGATCGTCAGCCTTTTTTTTTTTTTAACTTTTATTTACAAAAGTGAAAGTCTCCGTTTAAAATTCTTTTAAAAAATCAATTATGATTTTTTTTTTAAATTAATTTAAGAAAATTAGAAATTATAAAGCTTATTTAATATATTTTGAAACAAGCATTACTTACTTCCTGCGCTGAAAAAAATGTACTTTAAAATGAGAGAAAGCCGGTCTTAACAGCGATGTTGATTGACAAGCGACATGTGCGTGATTTCATCACGTACTGACATCTTACGAAAGGAAAAGTTAGAGTACGGAAGGTCACTAGTGACAGCTTAGCTTTACGTGAACAACTTATTTACCTCGTTATTTTTAAGTGGGCATAGCATGATAAAAACGGCCTTAAACTTGACGAAAGCAGAATTTTGTCATCAAAATGTTTATGCTACTACCAAATGTATGTATGTAAGTATGTATGTATACGATATCGCTTTCTTTAAGCAATTAAAAAATGAAAGTAGAAAATTATTGTAAGTTCTTAGATATCTTTGAATGGTACATGTCACAATCAAGAAGCATTAAGATATTCATACTAGACAATGCTCTTTGAAATTCTGTGAAGAGGATTATTGCCCATCATCTTCAAACAGCTCCGAAGGCACCAAATTAATGAAATGGTCCCTTTCCTCTTCCAATATCAATCCAAGAGAAAATGCGTGGTCTTTCATGAACCTACCTGTACCTTTAACGGCATTCACCCGGGGTGGATTGAGCCGGCTCCAATATTGGAGTTTCATGGGAATTTGGAATTCACAAGCGCTCCCCAACCCGCATGTATGGCACATGAGATTTGATTATAGTGGTGAAGGTTTCGTGCAGGACCATCCACACTTTTTGAAGGGCCGATTACAGAGATCTGGTGCACTACGTGCCACAAGGTCCCCAAACGGGCCTTCGCAGGTTTTGAATTCAGAGTTTTCCCTTCTCCTAGACCAGTTGCCATCCAAGGCTATAGAACCCAGTCTGTCCTGCTATTTACTGAAGGGAGAAGAAGAGGATTCACACCTTCCCCAAGTGATTCGACTGGAATTCGAACTCGGCTCTCCAATTCCTCAATCCAAGCCGCTATCCATTACTCCACCGTGCCTCCTCTCTTTCATGAAATGCGATTTACATATAGAATAGGAATAATATTAAAGTAAAGATATCTTGAAAGCAATAAAAGCTTCTAAATTTTACAATTGAAACAGAAAAAATGAAAATTATGTATGCAAGACTGATTAAGGTTATAGAATATCAGGGGGCCATTTACTCCGACAGGACGCCTTCACCAGTAAAAACTTCGTTCAATCTTTAACATCGAATGGAATTACTATGTGACCAACACCAAAGTCCTGGAAAGACTCGACAGTCAAAGCATCGAATCGCTGATCATTAAAGACCGTCTTCGATGGTCAAGGTATATAACAAGAATGGAAGAGTTAAGGTTTCCGCATCAAGTCTTATTCAGTGAGCTCACTTCAAGGAAAACATCACGGGGTTGCCCTCTTCAAAGATACAAGGATCAACTCAAAGCAACACTGAAAGCCACTGGACTTGAGCCTAAATCGTTTGAAACACATGCACTAGAAGACCGTACCAACTGACGACGTTCCATCACCATCAGAACTAACAACTTTGAAGCCACCAGAAGATAAAAGGAAGAAGTCAAATGAAAATCCTCATCCTCCACGAACAACTATGCAGTCAATGCCATCCACTATTCGATTCATAAAATGGGTTTGCTTAGCCATCAACGCCATCATCATAAAGGAAGCGATCAGAAAAGAAATGAAATTCTTGAATTCGAGATAAAGCCGACGACGATATATGTATGTATTCAGTTGGTAGTAGTAACCATTCGACTCTGTGGATCTAAGGGTCCAGGTAAAATAAGGCATGGACAACAGACGAAATTATTTCATCGACATTCTGTTTCCTTTGTCTGATCGTCTCTATGTTTATACACTTTTTAGAGACAAATGAATTCATTTCAGAATTATCTCTTGATGTCTAATTGGTTCACAGGTGTGACTGATTTGACCAAACCTTTTCTTCACCGACATTTAGGAATGATTAAATTTTATTTACATTATTCGGACTATTGTCCTCATCATTGTCGCCATATTTATTACAACGTTTCGGTCGTTGTACGCTCCGGCCTTCTTCAGGTGGTTGGAATGTCGAACTGAACCCTTTATTTCGCTCACTGGGGTAGACTGCTCTAGTTCCACGTGCCATGTTTAATGGATGTCAGTTATCAGTTATCTCCTGTTAATTTCCCTCGGAACGTTCTCCATTGCCATAACCGGGTATTGAACTCCCACTCTTTGGGTCCTGTCACTGGATCTAACTAACGCCTTTATCCACTGTGCCATGTGTCTTTGAGGCCGAAACGTTGTAATAAATATGGCGACAAAGATGAGGACAATAGTCCGAATAACGTAAATAATGTACATAATACCTCATCTCAGAAATATAGACAGATGCTGAAAGGCCGAAACGTTGTAATAAATATGGCGACAAAGATGAGGACAATAGTCCGAATAACGTAAATAATGTACATAATACCTCATCTCAGAAATATAGACAGATGCTGAAAGGCCGAAACGTTGTAATAAATATGGCGACAAAGATGAGGACAATAGTCCGAATAACGTAAATAATGTACATAATACCTCATCTCAGAAATATAGACAGATGCTGAAAGGCTGAAACGTTGTAATAAATATGGCGACAAAGATGAGGACAATAGTCCGAATAACGTAAATAATGTACATAATACCTCATCTCAGAAATATAGACAGATGCTGAAATGAAACGTTGTAATAAAATGGCGACAAAGATGAGGACAATAGTCCGAATAACGTAAATAATGTACATAATACCTCATCTCAGAAATATAGACAGATACTGATTAACTTTTGGCCTCTTTTATTTATTTTTTCTTATCTTTTTTATTTCTTTTTATGACAAAAGAAAATGGTTTTGTACTTTTATTTATTTATTTGGAAACAGTGAAATTTTTATTTTTCTATCACTATCTATATACAGGATGTATCAAAAATACGTTTACAGACGTTGGGGGTGGGTTTCCTCACACAAAAACAAGAACATAAGTCCGGATAAACATATGTCCGTAAATTCTTCGTTTTTGAGTCATTAAGTTTAAAGTTTAGGGTAGATACTGTTAAATGTACAATCCAAGATACAATCCAAAAATACTTTTACAAACTTTGGGGGCA